AACAAATTGGTTTCAAAATTGTTAAAATAATCCAATTTTAAAGTTTATTTAGAAAATGTAAAACGATTTTATGATTAACAAATCTTAGTTTTGAGTTTTTGAACAAAAAGCCTTTTTCCGGTATACAAATACAGGAAAATATGCAGGGAGGGGCGTCGTTTGGATTTTTTTTTGGCGATCGGTTTCTTTTTAATATCAGTTTGTTTTTCAAGTTTTTTAGTCTTTAACGAAATCGTTTGAAAAATATTAGGTCATTTGCATTTTTTTTTCGGACGTACAAGGACACAGTTCTTAATAGTTACGATACTATTTGCTTTGTAATTGAATTAAATGCACGTAATTATTGCTTTAATTTCGTCTTCCTATTTCACAGTTTTCTGCTCCTTATTATCGTTGAAAATGTTTTAAAACTAAAAGAATATTATTGTTAGAAATATATTTATTTTACTTCCTGAAACGTTTTACCAGCACAAATATTGGCACTCCTTTGTATTAAAACCATTTAGAAAAATTCATTTGGGACATGATAGGCGATACAAATGTCATTACTATAAAAGTATTCTAAAAATATCATAAAATATCATAAAAGCTTAAAAATTCTTTACGGAAATAGTTACCACAAAGATTTATAGAATTGGTGAATGGGAATACGGATGGATTTGGGAAGGGTTAAAAATTCACTCTAAAGAATTGAGTCTTTGCTACAAACTCGGATTTTGTAAACCTTATATCTTTGTAACCCAATGTCGTAGAGCTTAGATATTTCAATCAATACATTCTGCCAAATCAAATCATATAAGTTTAAAATATCAAAATGTCAGGTTGCAAAGATATAGGGATTAGAAAAATATGAGTTAGCGGTAACGGCTCGACTCTTTTATATGAATGGTTATTAGACTCTTGTTTGGGATTGCACAGGGGGCAAAATATTTACTGTTTTAACCTATATTTAAATAAAAGATGTAATTATAACGCAATAGAATAATAAACCTAAAAAAAAGTTTAGAGTTTCTTGGTTTATTTATGCTTATATACTTGTGAATGAGGCAAAATATCGTAACTACGTGCAACGGTAAAAAATGTAATTAAAACCTATCTAGTAGATTTATGTATATATATATATATCTATCGACAGAACATGCTCAGAAGCCCCATTAAACAGGGGGCATTTAAGGGACCTTTCAGTCTTGTTGGGTAGAGATGGGAGTTACCAGCTATTTAAAGGAAGTTGCTTTTATATATCTTACCTCCATATTCCGGTTACAAACACAAAAAAAACATTTGAAAAGCCATGCATTTTCTTTTCAAAGACAATTCCAAAATGTAACTTTATCTCCATGTTTACTGGTTCACCCTGTATGAGACCACCCCTTCGGCAATAAACTGTTGTAGCACTAGGTGTTTAAACCCCTTTCTGTATGTTAACCTTTTAAAACAATTGCCATTCGGTGGTATTTAGGTATTTAACTATTTAACTATCACGCCCATTGTAATACGTTGCTCTGTTATCCTATTTAATTTAATAACTTAGTTACCGGGCTTTAAAACAGCGATTATCTTAAAACAATTTGTAAATATCAATTCATGTAGCAAAACTATTGTCAATTTAACCCAGCGTTGTCTGGAAACAAAAAAAATCGATAAAAGTTAACTAAGATTTTTAAAGCAAGAACATTCCCAGGGTTCCACAGATCGTTCCCCAGTCAAGAGGCAAATCAGTCAAGTTTTGATCAGACACACATACAAAATATTAATGCGTTTTTACTTTATGCATTATTTTCTCTGTCAATATAATTAATATAATTCTACCGAAATTAGTTTTTCAAAGTTTTTATTGAAAAGATATCATTAAATTCAAACCGAGACATTATGATAAAAGAAAGTCTTTTTTGGACTCACTTTATCAAATTCATTGCAGATTTATTTCCTCTGAGGAGATTCCTATCACGTGGAATCAATATGGCCGTCCATATAATTTACATAATTCAAACTTTCAGACCTCAATTTATTCAAATCATTTGGAAATCTTTGACCATTAAAGAATTTAAGGTAACCACTTCAGGGAATATGGAGGTGCATTGTTAATATTTCAGAACTGTTTTCACTTTTCTTTCAAAATAATTGCATTTTAAGCAGAATTATTTGATATCTGGGTTTAGTTGTAGAATTTCAAAGTTATGTGGCTGATTCATAATTGTATATTTCTACGGTCGACAACAGACAAAAATATTTTTAATTTCAATTTATCAATTTAAATCATTTTATTATTTTATCATTTTTTCTCTTAAAATAGGAAACTAGACAGATGGGAAAAGTAAAATTTACGCGACATACCTCTTCAATTAGAGGAGTTAGAATTGAAAATATATTAATTTTCAACCTTACGTACACAACACGGGCAGCCGTAGTACATTTGAATTTCCGAGCCGGGTCAACCTTTCCCGTCCCAGTTTATACTGTACCTAGCTCTATGGACAGGACTATCCTGTGCAACAAGGTTGACGCGGCCAGACTTCATGCTTTATATAGGATGAATTTACTTTTACTAAAGGGGAAGATTTGCGTGATAATTTACTTTAGTTTAACGTGCCTTGACTCTTGTACAGGGTGTCCCAAAAAACATGGGAATTCAGTGACGAATTCGATATCGTCTTTTCAAATAATTCTTTGATTTAGTATAGTGATACCTACTGAGAAAGCTGTAATCTGTAAGAGTTTCGTCTGCTATGTTTACATTTTGTTTGTTTATTGTATCGTGTAACCTGTATCGTGTATCTTGTATCCTGCAGATCAAGTCCTGTATCACGTATGTGGGTGGTAGATAAATTGCAAATGCATGTGTGCACTTCTTGGGTTAAATACGTTTTATAATTATTTAGATTTTCATCAGATTTGCTTAAACCTTAAACCCACTACCACTTTCAATTTCACAAACAATTTCTTTGCATTAAAATGCATGAAAGGGACCGTTAGCATAATTTCAAGTAACCTTATACATGTGAAGATGAACGTGTCTGATTTTCAACGGAAATAATTGAGAAATTCAAAGAAATAAACACTTTCCCAGTTAGAAAAATGACATTATCTTCAACATTTCTGACTTTGCATGGAGGGTCAATGAAAAATACGCTTACAGTCTTTATGAAGTCAATTTGAATATTTTGAATAATTTTCTTATTTGTAAAATATGGAGGTTTCTGGCGTAAATTTATTGTATTGCAATAATAGGAGTGCGTTTAACAAAATTTAATTGTAATTATATTTGAAATTAATATAATTAATATTTTACATAAGCATCAAAAAGTACACTTCATAATAATGATGATAATTTATATTGGTACGATCTTGAAATGTGATTTAAAAACTTTGGATCTGATTTTTTTTCAATTGAAAGATATCACTCTATAGAGTTCTTTACACGTGTTGGTAATCTTTGAGATGTTACAGAACTATTTCACATTAATTGTACATGGATACTCGGAATTAAAATCTGAGATCCGAGGTACGTTGAAAAGCTTGGGTATTTATTTTGCGTGGAAATGCCCTACTCGTAATTTTTGATCAATCAAGCTTATAACCATTGTGGAAAGGTTACAATCTGTGTGCGTAAATAATTTAATAGTAATAACAAAAACGACTTTTACTCCGATTTGTAATAGCTCATGCTAAATGAATACACCTGAATACCATGGATTAAGATAAACCCACCTATCCATTAATCTTGACCCCTTACACTGTATGTTGAGAATACACCCATATCAAGGGGGGTTTAGAAATAAATACAGGGCGAGGCAAAATAAACCATGCAAACTTTAAAATGAGATAAAAACATTGAAAATATCCACATCTTGTATTGAAAATCTAAATTAAAAATATCTGTTTTTCATAGCCCCCCTGTAATATAAATGAGAAGATGTGTTTGATAAATGGGATTTTAAATATATAAATGGTATGTGTGAGGATATGGTGTGTAGAAAGGTTAGGGCGGGCGGACCCGCCCATCGCATCATGAGCACTGTCAATAATAAAGGTATCAATAGAAGATGGAGGGGGGGGTGAGGGATGGAGGGGGGAGGAGTGGAATGATGATGTGAAAAAGTGATGTGTATAGGCGAGCATAATGATGCAATAAGCGTAAGATGAGATTGAAAGAAGGTGCAATGATGACCCGATAGGGGGGGGGGGGGGATTGGTGTTTGCCAGACGTAGAAAATATTAATATGTATAAACATTTTGTTAGATATTTGTTCTTGGTCATCTGAAAAAAAAACAATAATTGGTTAGAGACCAACCAGATCAGATTAAAATTTCATTTAAAATTTCTATTTTTAGTTAAACTTTGAGACTGACTTAAACAAATGCTCAACAATATTTTTTTGTTCTATAAGTAGTTGATTCCCCGCATCAAACTCTATTTTCTAATCTTCATATCATTCGTGATCTAATGTCGTAGAACTTAGATTTTACTTAGCCAAAGTTTGCCATATTAATACTTACACCATAAAGTTGCAAAAAATATTTTTATGATTTCGTATCCGTCGGCCTGGAGTCCTGATCTATGGTGCGCAAAAATTCTAAATTCTGGTTCGAATGCTGTTCTTTTTGAGTGGGTTTGCCATGACGGGAATAAACTGAACTAAGATTGTAAATATATTTATTTTGGATTTATGATTGGTAAAAAGTCCTATTTATGTTCACTGCATTTGGTTTAGTTTTTATTCTTTAAAATGCTGAATTTTTTGTGTTGTATATTTTTACGTTCAGCTTACAGGGTCCTTCCGTGCAAAGATGGCAATGCCCGATTTACAACGGTACCAACCATTGAAACCATTGTGAATCGGACATTGCCGAGCTATCGTTGCATAGAGGGTTACTTCTGAATCAAAACAAGGATTCTGAAGATTTCTAATATTATTATATCAATTATTTTCCGATCTGAAAATGAACAACTTTGATTTTCTAAAATTTTTTGTAAATTTATTAATTTTGTTTTCAGACTTACCTGCGTAACATGTAGAATGTGACAATGTTAGATAAAAACTTCAAAATATTGATGTTAAAGGCATAAAAGTGAACCAAGAAAATGAAAATGAAATTTTAAAAATGAACCCTTAAAATTTACGTGAAAAATGGAGACACGTAATTTAATTAAACTACGCCAAACAACTACTGGAGTTCAGATCAGAAAACGAAGGTGAGATATCACGCTGAACCAAAGTAAAATTAACCAAGGGTGGAAACTAATGACTATTTTTTGTAAGACACGAGTTTTAATCACTTCTGAGGATAAAATTGTTGTACTGGATACTAGGAGAACTTAATATCCATTAAACACACTTTAATATAATGTTTATCTTCTTATATATAAAAAACTTGTCAATTTCTATCACAAATGGTATACCCAACGTCAACAGGAACTGAGTTATTACCACAAAATTTTCTAATCCCTATATCTTCGCAGCCAGATGATGTAAACCTTTGATATTTTATACTATTTCATTTAACAGAATTTTATAGTTTGAAATATCAAAGGTTTACGACACTGGATTGCAAAGATATAGAGATTAAAAAATCAGAGTTTGCTGCAAGAACTTAGTTCCGTCAGACGTTTATTCGCAAAGTGTTTTCCCTTGCAGTTCTCTGAGAACCTAAAGAAGTTTACGAAAGATTACGAAACTACCTACCTCCCAGAAGAAGTAGAAGAACCAGCTGTAATTAGTTCAACTACTTCTCATTCACTAATTTATAAATTTCCATCTTTGAGAAATCAAAACGTTTTTTAGTTTTCAAATCTTAAAAACCCTAAATTACTTTTGTAACAATGTACTTCGCACTTTTCAGGAATTACCATAGAAATTCATAAAAACAAGATTTATTCTTTTTATATTTAGGGCTTTTTTAATGCTGCACATAATACCGAATTTTAAATCTTTAAAAGAGGTGTTATGTGTTTTGATATTGGCATTTTCCCTAGAACGGCTTCCCAACTGACAATTTCCCAAGTGGAAATTTTCCAAATAATGTGTAATTTCCCAAGCGTCAACTTCCGCAGGCTGATATAGGGCCAAGCGGTGCGGCTAGAATGGACTAGGGGGCCGGGCACTGCGGCTAGAATGGACTAGGGGGCCGAGCACTGCGGCTAGAATAGTATATTGGGCAGAGCGCTGCGGCTAGGACAGATTGGGGAAGTTGTCGCTTGGAGAATTGTACATCTGGGAAGTTGACCAAACAATTTGAAACATTTAAAAGGATTTCATTATTTATGTTTTATTTTAGTCAGCTGATCTTGACGAAAAAAAGCATATTTAAAGCTAGGTGTTTACTGTTTATAAATTAAAGACTTGAGTGTTCAATTTTTTATAAAATTATTTTATTTTTTAGAGAAATGAGAAATAAAAACAGAAATTCCGCTGATATTGAGCTTATTACAGGTACAGTAAACATCATTATTATTTTATACTTTAGTATCTACTGCAGGGAGTAATATTCAAGCTATAATAGTAGTTAAAACAATTTAATTCATTTCATTCTCCCTATTCTACAAAATTATGAAGACCGTCGTAGTAATAAGAAAATAAAAAGGTTTATGGCTAAAAAATGTAGGTTTGAAAAAAATGCAGATAGGCTGGGAATTGCATAGATCAATATCTTTGTATGAAAGTTTAGCAGTGTACTGCGCGGTGTGTAGGCCGGTCGAAGGCCGGTCGTAGGCCGAGAATAATTTCAACATCTCATTACATCAAATATAAAACTGTATATAAGATAGCAATAAAATCAAAACGATGAATGAAAACTAATAAATTCTACAGAGAACAATTTAAAATTGTTCTTAATGTCATATTGTAAACTGCCGCCCCCCCCCCCTCCAGGGAAAATATTGCTCTCTACTTAAGATTTTATTCAGTCCAAATATATATTTTTACTGCAGGGCCATAATTTAATTTAATTTATATCATAACTTACTGGCCACCTGTTAATAATGTATAGTCCCTTCCCACACACTGGTCTCATGTAGTAAATTAAAGGAATTTAAGACATCCTCTAGTATATTTAGTTTTAAAGGGACAATTCAGGCCATTCATTTATAGAGTGGAATGTGATATTAACGATGTAACCCTTTGAAAATGTATACGAGTTATTCTTCTTTTTCAATCTGAAAAATGATTAAGTTCACTTGGGGTCGTTTATTGCAGTGACTTGAGGGTGTGAGCTGAATTCGTATCTTTTCAAGAAAAACAACTTAATCTTTTTCGTTTCAAAATAATCTGATAAAGAGACAAAGGGTACTGTTGTGTCTCAAGATGTATCACTGGAAATTGCGTTGACAATTCCTTTCATTTTCAAGTAAAGCGAGTCTCTTAAAGGGAATGTTGGGAAAAATGAAAGGGGATAAATGCTGAAACCTAAGCGCTTAAAGGCACTGTTAGGAAAAATGAAAGGGGATAAAGGCTGAAATCTAAGCCCTTAAAGGCACTGTTAGGAAAAATGAAAGGGGATAAAAGCTGAAACCTAAGCGCTTAAAGGCACTGTTAGGAAAAATGAAAGGGGGTATAAATTGAAACCTAAGCACTTAAAGGGACTATTAAGTTAAATGAAAGGGGGTATAAACTGAAACCTAAGCGCTTAAAGGGACTGTTGGGAAAAATGAAAGGGGGTATAGACTGAAATCTAAGCACTTAAAGGGACTGTTAGGAAAAATGAAAGGGGATAAAATAGTGCAATTTTGCACCGCTAATCTCTTCAGGCTGCAGTTATGTAACCAAACTAAACTAAATCAAATTTTATTTTATTTTGTAATCATGGATTTGAAGAATTGTGTTGCAGTTAGAGGTAAACATTTTTCTCGAATAAAACAGAGGTTAACCTTTCATTTTCGTGTTGCTACAGAAATAAAAAGATATATAGAAAGATAGATATATAGATAATTAGCTATATTGATAAATATTTAAATAGATAAAAAGATAAATAGAAAAATAGATAAATAGATAAATAGATAAATAGAAAAATAGATAAATAGATAAAAAGATCAATAGATGAATAGATAAATAGATTTTTAGATAAATAGCTAAATAGATAAATAGATAAATAGATAAATAGATAAATAGATAAAAAGATCAATAGATGAATAGATAAATAGATATTTAGATAAATAGATAAATAGATAAATAGGTAAATAGATAAATAGATAATAAATAAATAGATAAATAGATAAATAGATAAATAGATAAATAGAAAAATAGAAAAATAGATAAATAGATAAAAAGATCAATAGATGAATAGATAATTAGATATTTAGATAAATAGATAAATAGATAAATAGATAAATAGATAATAAATAAATAGATAAATAGATAAATAGATAAATAGATAAATAGAAAAATAGATAAATAAATGAAAAATAAATAGCTAAATAGATAAATAGATAAATAGATGAATAGATAAATAGATATTTAGATAAATAGATAAATAGATAAATAGATAAATAGATAATAAATAAATAGATAAATAGATAAATAGATAAATAGATAAATAGAAAAATAGCTTAAACTTGTATTCCCTTTATGGAAGAAAAGTTAAGTTATGCAAACCAATTAAAATATATTTGGTCTCATTAAATTCAAAGAAACCTGAATTCTTACAAAAAATATATTTAAAAAAATAATAAAAACAATTTAAAAAAATAATAAAAAAATTATAAAATAAATATTTTAAAAACAAGGCAGGAACAACTAAAGTTTAATCAATGGAAGATATAATTGTAGGAAAACGTAAACTTGGATACAGTGATATCCAGAAAGCTCTGGAATAGAAAGTCGACTTTTAGACTCAAGTTATAACTTTACATAGTCAAATAAACATGAGGCACAGCAATTGTGCAGTGTAAACAGACCCATTTCACTTGATAAATGATTTAATAATTTATTAGTAAAGCTATTTGCTTTGTAACAACATCAAAGTACTTCAGTATTGCTTCAATGTCGTCTTCCTATTCTAGAGTTTTCTGGTCATGAAAGTAAATAACGTTGCGCTCTAATATTGGGTCCACAAAGGATGAATCTTTACTGATGACCTGAGACGGTCTGCAGTCTAAATGTGAATAAAGCCTTGATGAATTCTGTACAGTCGTTTGTAAAGTCTCATTCTTTTTGGTTAACCCTGTGTAATCTATAAAATAGATGAATTATATAGATTAAGAAATAAGCAAAAACTAAATGAAAATTTAAAGCACACCATTATCTATTGAAAGTTGTGGTGCATTCCAACGTTTTTATGTATCCATAACGATTTATTAATGATAAAGGCGAAAAAGAAATGGTTTATAATCTTAAAAGGGTTAATCGCACACTGAACATACCAAGAAAGGACTTTTTTCGATCAAAAAAATTTAGTTTGAAATACGTTATTTATTAAATCGCATATCAATTTGTCATATTTAATCGCATTTCACTGATCTACACTTATACACCCTGTGATAAATTCTTATGTCCATGGTATTTCCTTAATTTTGGGACACCCTGTATCGGATCGTGTCTCTATGGGTTTATAATAGATATTAGTGCACAGATCTAACACAGGTTTCATGCGCATCCCAATCCTTGTTTTGGTATTGTGTTTCCCTTTTCTTCCCACCCCACGCTCCTCCCATAACTTTGCGCAAATATTAACGTTCCGTAACTTTCACGTTTTGACATTTCAATATTTGATTTTTCTTAGCTTTGTTGTATTTGGTAAATTCATGAATCCAAAATTTTTGCTGATTTTTTAAAAGTGTTATTTCTCGTTCTCCGTTCATTGAATATCTAATCATCACTTGCGTTATCCTATCTGAAAATATATAGGGCGACCAAGCCACTTTGTAATTTTATAAATTTATAAATTTTTGTTTGTTTTGCTGTTTAATAAAGTATTTGAGAAGAAGTATTTGGTAAAATTTAATCCTTTTGATAATTCGCCAACTTACACAAAATTAATAGTGAAGTTTTCAGCCTCTTTGAATTCGGATATTTTAAATATTTTTTATCTAGTTTGCCAATTCATATCAAAATAAGAGAAAACGCAAACTTTCTGTTTCAAAGCAATATTTTAAAATTAATCAACAAACCATGAGCCCGATCTATAACGGTACTCTGTAAACATTCGTTTAAGCAAACACGATATTCATCTTTTTTATCTTAAAATAGATCATCTCAAATCGTGGTTTTGTGGCTGGCAGATTTAAGCAACAGAGACAGATAAAGGTTAACAGCTGTCCCTCATAAATATGGTTCACTTGAAATTACGTCAGCAGCTCTTTAATGTTGGTTTGGATAAATTTGTTGATCTGCCCCCTCCCTCCCTTTAGGAAAAATGAAAGG